GAGATCTGAATTTCAAAGTGTCAGGTAAATTTTTTTTTACCAAGCACTCAGAGAAATTTAAATAATTACCGATTGCGCATTAACTCGATTTAATGGAGCAACGATGAAATATTTATTAATGACGGATTTACACTGAGTGCGGTGGACTTTTTTTTTCTGGTGATTCTGTTACTATCGTAATTATTGGGTATATTATGGAGATATTCTCACTCAATTAGTGTCTCGTTTTATCGGTCATTTCTGCGATGAGACGCGATGCTTTTATACGACAATTTTAACGCCATTATACAGCATAGTACGTGGTATGGCCATCGGCCACCCGTTGGTCAGAGAGAGAGAAAAAATAACAGTTGACCGTCAACTTTGTTTTCATAATGAGGCAATAAATGAGCGACTTATTTTTAGTTTAACTTTTTTGTTAAATTCGCGACAGGTCTACTGGTGAAAAAAAAAAAGGTGGTGCGGGCAAAATGAATTTCTTTATCGAATTCCAGGGCCAGACTTGAATAATATCGGTGTGGGGGACATTCTCCGAGGACAAACAGCCCAGGGAGAGAAGATAGAGGACCTGGGGTTGTCTCGTTCTTTGTTCCCATCCTACGGGCACTCGATCCATTCATAAATATCTCAAAACGACTTAATTTCGCGGTATGCGCAGATCGCGGAATGAAAAACGCGACTTAGCGGACATGAGGGACCGGTGAAATATCGGTGGGACGATTGCTCGATGCAATAAATATCGAGTGGGTAAATAAATTCTCGAGATAATTGGAACGAGAAATTTTTATCAGTTTGGAATAATAATATTTCAATTAACTCGTTAATGAATAATTGCAGTAATCCAGCGTAATTACCGGAGTATGACTCCTCCATTCTTTTTCCAGAGTGTGTTTTATCGATATGACGACAGCTTGATTCCTCCTGGGCTCGTAAAAAAATACCCTACGACTTTATGCTTGTGCCACACACGCAAGAGCTTTTCCTTTTCTTTTTTTTTTCTGCATCGTGGATATTTTAATAGTCACGTATTCATTTGGGCTCGCGGGGATGTGCATCCAACAGGTTCATCGGGGCATGTCACATAGGATTAGTTGACTAGCTTATTCCCGATGTGAATAATATTTTTCCCGTTGTAAATATGGCGATGGAGCAATAATAACGTTTCTTTATTTTCCACTGGCGATTAAATATAAACAGCGAAGCGCAAACGTTTGAAATAACCAGCGGGAGGTCAGTTGAGATGCAATTCAAGGCAGTGGAAAAAATAACCGGCGGATACAATTATCCAAGACGTTAATAAAAATCAATGAAAAATTAAGTCCTAAAGCAATTGAAGACGTAAACTTTCGATCAAATGAATTGACCAGCGTAAAAACCCCATCATGCTGATAATAATTAGGGAAATTCAACTGCTATCGAATTTTTCCGAGGGGTTCATTAGCGACAATTGTACCGCGGGTAATTATATTTCAGCGGATATAATCCATACGCGTAATGGTGGACACGATTAAATCGAATTGCTACTTAACCGTGAGATGTACCAGATAAGAAATTGTATATGGCAACGAGAAAGTTGCGTTATCGTTAATGCACGATTGAATTATACCCACCGATCGCATAGCGGCATGTCCACTGAGTAAATTCTGGTGAACCGTTACCTGAAAAATATTGCCATCCTGGCAGGATCGTGTACCTCAACCAACTCCAAGTCTTAAATCCAACCGGATATTTGTTCTCGCGTTCGAATTCACCGGTGATAAAACATCAGTTTATAAATGTCCACACGAGGGGCTTTAAATGGCCTTTAAAATGGCGTTATTGTTTCTGACCGCACACACTCACGTACTGAGACACATCGTACGAGAAACCGAAATCGTGATGGGAGAGTTTCTCACTCGGGGGATGAGGGCACACGGTACCCGACATTTAATCGCCCTCCAAGAGATTTACGATCCTCCACTTCACCCCCCTTTTTCCCCCCCAGTCCTATCCTCGCGCGTTTACGTATTGTCCACCATATCTACTAGCACAACACCGCAAACCTTCTACACTTTTTCACCCACGAATTATTAATATTGTACACGGATTTATCTAGTTACGGCGATAGATCATACCTCCTCTTTGCATTTTTTTCAAGAAAAATCATCATTTTCACAATTGCAATGAAAAAAATGATTTAATGATAATTTATCATGTTTCTGCAATGAATAATGCATGGTACGTGCCGTTGGAAGATAATGGAATTTTTGATTGCAACTGGCAATAATTCCTCTCGGCAGTCAGTCAGCGGAAATCCTGAGGGTTTACCCCAGAATTATTACCATCCCCAGGGTTTTCCGCGCTAGAAATGGCTGTTTTCAATGCATCCGGTGAATATATGGTGTCCCCCCCACATATGTACATTTGTACATGGGCGGAACTCCCTGTCCAGGACGTTAAGCACTCGCCGAGCGATTTATCGCTATCTCTTCAAGTTCTGGGTTGAGGGATCGACCTGTCCAAGAGGGATGATAAAATTGGTTACATGAAGAAAAACTCAAAATAATGTAATTTATAATCAATTATCCGTCATTCCCGCTGATTAATTTTTGTGATGAATTGAAATGAATTACAAGAAATTCCATGTCATTAAATTGTTAAATGACTCTGTTTGGTGGACCCCAGCGAGGGATCTTGAAAGATCCTACAAGCATCCCCATATTATAAATCTGGCATTAGGCTAATTCCCTGGAATACACGGCAAAGGGGATGAGTTTAACATGTTTGCAGCAATGATATGCCAACTCGCAGTAATATTTACGATAGTATTAAGAGAATACTGAGGAAGCTTTTGACCCGGGGATAGAGCGAGGAAGGAGATGATACAGCCTCACGGGAGATCTCCCTCAGCCGCCCACCATTTTCATCGTGGCAACCCCGTGATACACCGTCAGCAGTACGAAATGGCTTCCCCCTTCGGGTTGCCATGGGCAACCATTTCCTTCACCACCCCCGTTCTAGTACCCGGTTGCGAGGGCAGCGCACCCCATTACATCTACGTATTACCAATACAAATGTACAGAATACACACGCTGAGGATTCGTACACGGAAAAGCCCACGAGCCGTGTAATCCCGGTGTACATGTTTCTCGGGGAGCCATGTTGAATTCAATATCGCTGTTCCTCGAATTCCAGGCCGGTCGCTCTTTTTTCTTCTTCTCGTCCGGCTATAGTTCAACGATTCCACCGGTTAATCGGTGATATGGAAAAGGCACGACAGCGTGAAGTTTGATGTTTCCTCCATTCCAGGACAGTCAATGGAACTGACCTTTCTGTCGGCTTGTTTATTCTCATATACTTTCCCCACAAGAATATTTCGAAATAAAATGGCAATGAGAATTCACCGATTTCAATCAATTCTTCATGTTTGCATATTAACGATTCCTGTCAACGGATTCGCAGCTGTCGATTATTAATGAATGCAGATTAGTCGAGTGGTTTAAAATTCAGATGTCGGTGTGATATCGGGATGGTGGAAACAATCAGAATGAATTGGCATTGGGATGGGAAAAATTAGAAAAAAAAATGGCAACATGTGCAGGAAGTCTTGGAAGCAATTCTCATCACTGACCTGTCAAACCGCATCTCCTACCACTTCGGAAGACCATTATCGTTGGCAATTTACATCTTCGACGCCCTCCACCGTCGCCGCTCGATATTGAGCGAGCATAAATGTTCCTTAGAACCCTGTCCCGCATTTTTAGCTTTAAAATGAGAATTCCCTCGAGCTCTTTATGGTAATGTCTTTGTTACACTCGTTCAATTGCTGCCAGAGTTGATGGAGTCCTTTGAAGCTGTCATACCACTCGTAAAATTCTCAATGCAATAATGTCGATTAAAAATACAACAGCAATTTTCCATTCCAAGATTCTCAACAAATTGCGATAATTTCCGTCGATCTTTTTGCTTTTATCCGAAATACTCAGAACAATGGGGATCAAAATCCCAAGATGTTTTCTCCCTGCGCCATTGTACAACAACCAGCGAAAAAAAAAACAAAAAAAAAAAAACAACACCACCAACGCAGAGGGAAAAAAAAAAGCACAAAATAAAAATAAAAATAAGTAAGAACCGGTTTTTCGTGGAGGGAAAGAATGAAACGGGCGTTAACTCGCCGCAAGAGAAACGAAATGGCGCGGATCTTGGCTTCCCCCCTCGCTCTTTTGTTCTCAACGAAAATTACTGGAAGAGGCGAAAAACGAAAGAGAGAAAATGTAATTGCACGAAGGAAGTAGCGTAACATTTTATTTTTCCTCTAAAAAAACACCATTGACTTCACGTAGTTCTTCTCCTCCACCCCCTCCTCCCCCTTC